AGTTGGTGCAGGATAGAGCAGGGTTTAGGGCTGTTGTGCATAGGGTCGCTATGAGTTGCAAACGACTCAATGGCACATAACAACAACAACAACCTAACATGGGAGGTTCTCAATCCCTTAGGTCATATACAGTATAAGATTATTGTTGTAGAAGGTGTATGAGGATCCATAGGAGGTAGGAGGGAGCAGAGGATTGAGGATGGGGGGATATAAATCATAGGGTTGCACAGTTTGATGGGTGGAGAAAGTGTTGGTAAAAGAAATGGGAAAGATCTGGTGTGATATACAATGTATACAAACTTTGTAAGTAAACCAGTATTCAATAAAAAAATTATTTACATTTTAAAATAAATTTTGTTGGAATAGAGCTGGCAGTGATCTGAGAAGACAGAAGTGTAATAATTCAGTAGAGATTAAGTTTCTAAAACACAAGGTATGGGGAATGGAAACAAATATGACCCTCTTCCAATCTGTTGGCCAGACAGCCATCCTCCAATTTCCTGGCATAGACTGGTGAGTGCATCCAAGGCTGCATCTGTTAATTGAAACAAGTCAGTTGGTAATCCCATTGATTTCTGGGGCCTTATATTTTGCCAGTGCCTTCAATGCAGATTCTGCTTCCTCCTTCATTACCATTGGCTCCTGTTCATACAGTACTTCCTGAAATTTTTCTGGGTCCATCAATTCTTTCTGGTACAGTGACTCTGTGTATTCCCTCATCTTCTCCTGATGCTTTTTGGGTCATTCAATATATTGACCATCACATCTTGTGAAACAAGGGTTAAATTCATTTTTCAGTTCTTTCAGCTTGAAAAATGCAGAGTGAGTTTTTCCCTTTTTAGTCTCCAATTCCATCTCTTCACATTCCACTATACTATTTTGCTTTGTCCTTCTGAGCTGCCCTTTGAAATCTTCTGTTCAGCTTTCAACTTCAACATGTTTTCCTTTAGATTTGTCTTCTCAACGCTCCAGTGCAATCTTGAGAGTCTCTACTGACATTCATTTTTATTTTTTCTTTCTCCTCTGTTTTTGTAATAAGATTTTGCTTTCTTCATGGATGGTATCTTTGATATCATCCCATAGCTTATCTGGTCTTCAATGATTGGTGTTCAATGTCTCAAACAAATTCTTAAGACAATCATGAAATTCAGATGGAATTAATTCAAAATCACATATTGGTCTCTATGGTTTACTTTAATTTCTTTCAGCCAAAATTTGAACTTGCATATGAGTAATTGATTATCTGACCCACTATCTCTCCCTGGCCCAGTTTTGACTGCCAATATGGAGCTTCTCCTATGACTACTTCCACAAATGTTGTCAATGTGCTACGCAGCCTATCAGGTGAAATAAATGTATAAGGCCATCTTTTGTGTCTTTTAGAAAAGGTATTTGTAAAGTAAAATCATTGTAAATACAAAATTAAATCATTCTATTTCCAGCCTCAATTCTATCACCAAACCCGTATTTTTCAACCACTATTCCTTTTTTACTGTTTCCTACTTTTGCATTCCAATCACCAATTATCATTAACACATCCTGATTGCATGTTTGGTCAATTTTAGACTGCAAAATTTGTTAAAAATTCTCAATTTCTTCCCCTTTGGCTCTAGAGGGAGGGGCATATGTTTGAATAACAGTCTTGGTAACAAGTCTTCCCTGTATGTGTATGAATATTATCCTATCACCAACAACCTTTCAAGATAGAACTTGAAATTAACCTTTTGACTATGAATGTAATAGCATTCTTCCTCTGTTTTTCATTCCCTGCATACTGTACCATATGATTATCTGATTCAAAACTGCCAAAGCTAGTCCATCACATCTCACTAATGCCTGGTATGTTGATATTCATTTGTTCCATTTCATTTTTAACATTTCAAACTATGTACATTCCATAGCTTTTCATAATATCCTGATATTATAGATTTAATTTCCTCTGGTTCTGTTGTCATGTTAGCTCTATAATTCTTTGAGTTATTTGTGTCTTCTCCTTTTATTCATTCCTTAAGTTTATCAATAGTTTGTCAATTTTATTGACCCTTTCGAAAAACTGTCTTATTGACAGTTTCAAATTATTTATCTGTTTTCTATTTCATTGATTTTGCTCTTGTTCTTATAATTTCTTTTCTTCTGGATGCTGTTGGATTAAATTGTTCCTTTTCTCTTTGGTGAAGGTGCTGAGTTAGATCATTAATCTTGCATTTTCTTCATTTTTTATGTATTTGTCTATTGCTATGGACTGCCCCTGAGTACTGCCTTAGCTGCATCCCAGAGGTTTTGGTGTGTTGTATTGTCATTAACATTTGTTTCAAGGACCTTTTTTTATTATTTCATTCTTTATTTCTTCTCTTACCCAATCATGTTCTATCTGGGTGATATTTAGCTTCCACATTGGTGGCTTTATAAGCTTTATCCTTTTGTGGTTATTTCTAGTTTTGTGGTATTGTGGTCTTAGAAGATATTTTGTATGATTTCGATGTCTTTTAATTTATTGAGTCTTGCTTTGTGCCCTAATGTTTGATCAGCTCTGGAGAATGTGCCATGTGCCCTAGACAAGAAAGTGAAATGAGTTTTAGTTTGGGTGCAGTGCTTGGAATACGTCAACAAGGTCAAGTTGACTGACTGTGTAGATTAAGTCTTCTACATCTTTGTTACATTTCTTTTGAATTGACATATCCTTTGCAAAAGTGGTGTGTTTAAGTCTTCTACAACAATTGTGGTGCTTTATATTTCTTTCTTCAATTCCATTAACCATTGTTTTATTAATTTAGTTGGTCCATCATTTGGTGCAGAGATGTTGACCAATGTTATATTTTCTTGATCGACTATGCCTTTAATAATTACATAGTGCCTTTCCTTATCTGTTATATTTTCATTCTGAAGTCTATTTAATCACAGATTATTATTGTAATTCCTGCTTTTTTGTGGATGCCATTTATTTTGTACATTTTTCTCCAGCCTTTG